GAGGCATGACTACCCGTAGGTTGGTCATTTGCACACCGGAACTCCTCCATATATTGGAGCACAAACTGAACGAGATCATGCGGCCGCCGCCGCGTGCTACGCCAAGTAACATCATTTTGGTTAGACCACAAAGCCCACATCACAACCATGGACAGAGCACGAGCATCTGACGGCAACTCACACCAAAAGACCAAGAGCCAATCTGGTAAGGGTAGGTCAGCGTGCCTATCAAAGGAGAGAAGACCCGAGAGCAAACACCAGACCGCCTGAGCAAATGGGTAATTCCGGAGGATATGCAGCGTTGACTCCGCACCGCCACAAACACCACACCCCAGATGCGGTAAAGAGACCCGCCGCTTAGCAAGAGCACAACACGTAGGAAGGATATCATGGATACCACGCCAGGTACATAATTTAATCTTTTCAGGGAGCTTTGCATTCCAAACCCACTTCCACAACAGAGTCATGCCCGAAACCGAGGAAGATGGTGGGTCGGGGTCAGTCGACAAAGTAAGAGCCACACGGTACGCGCTCTTAACAGAAAATTTTCCTTTCCGGTCAAAATGCCAAATGAGGCAGTCTGGGGGAGACCGGAGGCTTAAAGGCACCATGAGAATCTCCTCCACATCCAAAGGCAGGAACAAGGACGTAAGAAGTGGTAAATTCCACTGGGGTTGGCTCGCCTGACAAATGAGGCTGCTAACTTTTAACTCTTCAAGCCCCACGACAGGAGGAGTAACCACTTCAAAGCTGGTTGGCCTAGGGAGCCACCGGTCCCCCCAAAACCTTAATATCGGACCCATTACCCACACGCCACCGAGAACCACGGGTAATAACCTTCATAGCAGAGAGAATGCTACTCCAAACAAATGATGGTTTGGAACCAGGAACCGCATCCAGGAGAGAAGAGTGGGGAAAATACCTAGCCTTCAAGAGCTTGCTGATAAGAGAATCTGGGTTATGAAGGAGGCGCCACCCTTGCTTAGCAAGCATAGCAAGGTTGAACGCATAGAGGCTCCTAAAACCCAACCCACCCTCGCTCTTTGGGAGACCTAACTTGCCCCAACGCATCCAGTGGATTTTTCGCCTATCACCATGCTGACCCCACCAGAACCTTGCCATAAGTTGCTCAAGGTCAGAACAAAAGTTTTTGGGTAGCAGGAAGCAACTCATAGTGTAAGTAGGAATAGCCTGGGCCACCACCTTGATTAAGATTTCCTTGCCTGCCATACTGAGGGTCTTGTCCTGCCAACCCTGCATCCTCTTCCAAACACGCTCCTTAATGCTTTGGAAGCAAATATTTTTTGAGCGTCCCACCACCATAGGCAGCCCCAGATAAATGTAAAAGTCTAGAGGTATTCAATTATGACTTTTAAAAAGTATTTAAAAGTTTGGTGGTATCCAGTTATGATTTTTAAAAAGTATTTAAAAGTTTGATGGTATCCAAAAAGTTAATGACTTTTAAAAAGCTTATTAAATGAATGACTTTTCCATACTTTTAAGGCTAATTGTTAAGAGCAAAAGTCTTGCCAATTTACTAGTGACTTTTATCAACTCTATGAAAGTATTTAAGAATTTGTCAACTCTATGAAAGTCACTCACTTAAAAAAAGTATTTATAAGTATGAATTAGATACACCCCCTAAAGTATAGTTAACTTGGGCTGAGTCAGTTTGATTGATATGGAAACCAACTAAATAAATCAATACTTTGTATTTTTTTTATTTATTGAATGATGAGTGTTGTTAGATTGTTTGAGATTTACAAATTAGTATGGTGGCCGAAATGTTGTTAAGATTGTTAAGTGTTGTTAAGTTGTTTTCAATTTTCATGTATAAATTTTTTACGTTTAGTTCACATGCGTACTAGAATTGGTTAAGTATGCGAATGCAAGTTATGCAGAATGAAACATTAAAAAGAAATTATATGATTGTGTGATGTAATTGGTATAATAAACTAAGGATGGGTACGGTCCAATTCGATTCAATTTTCTCCTAGAACCAAAACCGAAACGGAGAAATCTAAGGGCTATGGATGGAGACTCATTTGAGCAAAGCACCCCCGCCAGCTCCATAGGAATTGGCACTCAAGTGAGGAAGCAAGCCGTCTTTTTCCTTCCCCATATGATATGTAATTAAGTAACTGATATTCTCTAACCATAATACAGTTTCATGAGAGAGAAACTAAGGAGCCTCCTCCTATGTGGTGGTGATATTTGAGAAATTATACAATACTACCGTAGCACCAGCTGGCGTTGCTGAGTTGTACTACGGTCCAATAAGATTCAGCCATGTGTACAGCTTATACAGTCGGCAACAAACTTAATAGACTGCCGTTAACCCTTAACCACCGCCATCGCTGCAAATTAGAAATACCCGAGACTAAATTCTCTGTGGGCTCAGACCAAAAAATATATATATATATATATATCTGTGGGCTGCGCTGCCTGAGAAGTTGACCCAAACTCGCCGCCAAAATTAACTGCTCACCGATACTCATCGCAGACTCGGGAGTTTATCAAGTCACTTGCGCCAATTGCTACTGATTTCGGGTCTGAATTTATGCAGTTTTTGGGTTCCAGCGCCTCCGCCATTGTCTCCGATGAGGTCTCTTCGAGATTTTTTTCATTTTCTCCCATAAGCTATGGCTGAAATTTGTTAAAACGACTGTGGCGGTGGATACAACGCTGAAAATCTTGCCGTTGAATATCCCCTTTAAAATTGACCCCTTCGCCTCCCACATCAGGCTCAAAGCCTTTGCCTTTTTGGGTAATGACCCAATGTCAAATAATTTTGTTGCACAGCAATTGGTCAAAGAATATTATTGCATAGAAATTTGTTGATCTAATCTTAGATCTGAAATATTGACGCAATCAGGGTCTAAAAGTCAGCGTTGGGAGGACTTCAAGCTTTTGGGTGGGCATAACCACATGTTGTTTTTTTAACGTCGGCACTAACGGCAAAACTTTATGGTTCTGTTGACATGTCTAAGTTGTACACATGGCTTAATCTTATTGGATCGTAGTACCACTCAGCAACGCCAGCTGGTGCTACGGTACTATTGTATAATTTCTCGTGATATTTATAGATACACGTTTTGATGTACACATCGAAGTCAAACTTCTAGAAATTCAGCCATGGCGGTTTGAAATTGTGAGCTGCTTTAAAAGGTAACAAGGGGTCCATAATTTCCAGTCTATATCGAAGTCATGACAGACTAAAAAATTTCTTTATTTTTATTCTCGTGAGGTTTAGTCTATATTTTTGTAATCGATTAGATTAATAATTGACATCGAATTCAAACATAATTTAATTGTAATTACATACTTAATCGGTAATTATTGGGATCTCAAATCTTCCCTTTCGACTTACTAATCTGATATTTAATTCAATCATATCACTGCAAAAAAATAATAATATTAAAAAAAATGTGACCCTGTCACGTCTGACTTTTTCTTTCTATCTATTTTCTATCCTGCTGGGCATACAGAAAAAAATTGCTTCGACAAAGTAAAAAAAAAAAGAGACCAGAATTGCAGATTTTGGCCTTCAACTCTTGTGATGATTGGTAATGGTAAAAGGTTACATACAATACAACGACTGCTCTTTTAGCAACCTGTGATTCGGTGAATCGTAATAATCAAAGACTAACCCTTCGCCTGCAGTCCTCTCCTTCAATCTCCTTGCTTCCAAAATTGTACGTCATGCTACAATTCAATTCCACCACCACATTTTTATTGACCATAAGAATTTTCACCTTACCTTGAATCCTTGTATAAGTGCTCACCTTCAACGTCCCTGATGCAACCTCCCTCATGAACCCCGGCACCACCACGATCTCCCCGGGAACAATATCCACCGTCACGTTCATCCTCATCGTCCTCCTCGCCTTTGCCACCCCTGCCGGAGTCCTCCCCTGGCCCACCTCCGTCTCGCTGTAGTAAACCCTAGTGGTTGTGTTCCCATACTTGAAAGATGCCACGTTAGGGTTCTTGATCGAGACATCAGCTAGGAGTGTCACATTAGTACCCGAGCGTAGGGTTCCGTTGGCAAGCTCCAGCCGTTGGATTGTGACCCCGTTCATCTTGATCCTCGGGCCCTTTACGTGAAACACTGTGAAGCCGAGAACTATGGCTGTTACGGCTATGATTAAGAAGAGAGCCGAGACACAGCCACAGCACATTACATATTTTCTTTGGCTGAGCTTTATGTGTGAGGAGACGATAACTTCTTCTTCATCACTGCGGAGATAGTATGCGTTGGCTGGGGCTAGGGGCTTGCCTTGTTCTTTGGCAGCCATGGCTGTGATTCAGAGAGGTTTGGAAAATAAAGGGAGCAAAAATGGTAGGTGGAGATATATATTTAGAACTGGAAAGGCTGATGAGTTTCATGGAAATTTTGATTTTCTTTTTCTTGGGTCTTTGATTGTGAAACGTTGGAGAATTTTAGAGATTCTAGACGCGGTTGCACAAGTTGCAAGGCTTGACTTTTGACTTTGATGTTGTTTGTTTAATAAGAAAATATCACCAAAAGTGTGGATATAAATCCATGGATTTTAAAATAGGTGGTCGAAGCTTCTTTGAATCATGTTGTCTGATAGTAACATAACTTGTTGTTTAGGGACCCAAAAAAGAAAGAGTAATGGGAATGCATAACTTGTTGTGAGAAGAGTCAAGAGTGGCACTGCTGCGATTGACATAGGAGCAGAATTGGGAACTCAATTATTTCTCTTTTTCATACTTTAAAGGCAGGGCAGAGTCATAGTGTGTGTCTGTGAATATATGCAATTTCTGTGATCGCTGTGGGGTCCTAGATGCAATTATATCAATTAAGTTACCTCCGGAGCTCATGCCAAGAGCTTCTTCTTTTTTCATTTTGGTTCATATGAAATAGGATCCTCTGCTTTTCTTATGTGTGACTTTAAGCTGATTGGGTTTAAGGTTAAGTGCTTAGAATTTGAAATATACAAGCAATAATTGAGAAGAGGAGAATCAAGTAGACCAGTGAAAGTCTAAAACGACACAATTAAAAGTAGCACTAAATCAAGTCTAAAGTGGTAAAGTTCAAAGTAGCACTAAATCTTTTTTTCTTCTTGGTGGTGTCTTAAGAAGATATTTTTTCTCCTTATTATTTTCTTTGTTACGTGAGATTTTTTGTGAGAAATTATAGAATACTGCGGTAATATTGCTATGTGATACGTCTTGTACACGTGTTATAATATGAGTGAACGACATGATTTATTTTCCTTTCTTCTTTGGAATAATATTAATAAATATTCACTTATAATATAACACGTGTATAGAATATACCACATGACTGTGTTACCGTAGTATTCTATAATCACTCCGATCATAGAGAGGAAAACCCAACGTGTAGACATAAAGATATTTAAAATATTCTCCTCCCCCTCCCCCACCCAAAAAGAAGAGAGTTTCAACTAGTACTAGGCCCAACTGATTCAAGGTTGGGGTTTATGTTATGTATAGAATAGGCCCATATCTTGGATTGGAAAGAAGCTAAACAAGGCTGGACCAGTTCTACAACCGAAAACCGACCAAGGAACATGTTCCAGGTTGGACAACAGATGCAAATCATGCAACGATAAATTAGGGAGATAAAGCTAATTAAAAAGCTAATTAAAAAAGTAACAGCCGAGTCCACCGGCAGCCACAGAGCCTATGACCTCACCAGTCACCTCCATTTTCAGAGAAATTCGAATATAATAATTAAGCACCTCCTTAACCTTTCATTATGGGCAACACAGAGAGTTTTGGCATCCTAGATAGATTGGATTCAATTAAATCGAATATATATATTTTTAAGGCCAAAAGTCACTTTTGGTCCCTGTAATTTGTCACTTCAACCACTTTTGACCATGTAGTTTTAATTTCGTCACTTTTGACATTGTAGTTTCGTATTTGTAGCAATTCAAAGACATGTTAAAATTTCTGTCAATTTCTTTAACGGAGTTACCATGTGCCCCCTCATGTGGAGGGGCAATTTTGTCAATCCAAAGCAACTTGTCTTCTTCTACCTCGTTGACTTCACCTCTCTTCTTCACCACTGTCTTGAAGATCTTTTACTCTCCTCCTACCATCAACTTCAAAGTCTTCTTCACTATCCTCTTCATCATCAACATTGACAGGTACCTCTCTCCTATCTTCATTGCCAATATTATGTCCATACACAGGCACTTCAATTGTTCCCACGTTGTCATTACCCACTTCTTGTCCACCTTCAAAGGAAATCTGTGAAGCTTGATTAAAAATATCATCAAAATATTCATCTAGAACCTCATCAAATGCTTCAACATAAGGAAATCGTGGAGGGCCAGCATCTGAAAAATCAATGCCATGAGATTGAAAATATTGCTTTACTTTATGTGAATCAAAGCATTCAGAACTGTTAAATAACAAATGGCATGCATATCTTTACTTTATGCAAATAGGGGACCATTGTGTTTCCTAAACTGCCAATACACACACAATATTTTATAAAATTTTCAACCACCCAAAGTTACAGAACAAAACAAGGTCATTCGAATAAAAAAAACAAAACAAAACAAGGCCACAAAAGAATGGAATAAACAAAAGCGTTGAACCCACTTATCAAGATTGAAAACTCTAATAAAAATTATAAAACAATTTCGCACAAAATACAGAACCTTTAAAGATTCTAAGTTCACCTGGATTATTGAAGCCTCCATTGACTTCACCTCTCTTCCTCACCATCGTCGTTGCTTCTTTACAGAAATAACAATCGATTGAAGTTTTGCTACTCTTTTCTCACCCTCTTATTGCACTTAATCGAAAGCCCAGACGAATTTCAAAACATTTTTAGGAGCCCTAATCCTAATCTGCTTCAAAATGGCCAATTTCGCGCACCCTAGGAAGAGGTAGAGACAAGTTGCTTTGGACTGACAAAATTGCCCCTCTACTTGAGGGGCATATGGTAACTCCGTTAAAGAAATTGATAGAAATTTTAACACGTCATTGAATTGCTACAAATATGAAACTACATGGTCAAAAGTGACGAAATTGAAACCACAGGGTCAAAAGTGGTTGAAGTGACAAACTACAGGGACCAAAAGTGACTTTTGACATATTTTTAATTATGTGATTCTGTTGGTCTCATTTACTACCATTAAAAATATAATTAAAGTACAAGATTCCCATTTTTTCACGCAGAAGCATGCCATTGGGTTTGGTTTGGGTGTCTTTTTAGCCAACACGTATTCATTTTGAATCATTTCCAGCCAAAAGAAAAGGACATGTTTTTTTTTTTCTCACTTTCTTTTGAACTGCGGCATATCCATGTCATATCATACGCTACCCAAATGAACACCTCCATTTGTTGTCTAGGAAATAAACCATATTTCAAAGTGTTAAATTTATTGAGTAAAGTTATGGTTTAGATTTTTTTTTAGTACAAACGATAGTCCAAAGTGAGGTTTTCTCATATATACACTACTACGATGTCATGAGATTTGAACATAAGACCACTAATCTGCAAGTCAAAACTCTTTTACACTAGGTTAGACCCAATTGGAAAATGGTTTAGACAATCAATTTACCATAAAGCTGGCAAATGGCAACTATAGCTGCTATGAAGTGGACACAAAAACTTAAAAAAACAAAAACAAAAACTTGGTCATAAAGAAAACATCTGAAATTGAAATATATGGACAAAAATTTATAGGGAAGAAAAACAGTACTCGTATGTATATTAGCTAACAATATAAACAACTAAACAAAACAAGCGAATGAAATCCTAGAAATCAAAATCTCTACAAGCAAATGATTGAATTCATTCCTAGAAACTAATCTCAAAATACAGAACAATTGATTGATACACCAACATATCATATGTATCACTAACTAGAAATCTAAAAAAACAGAACAAAAAACGAAAAAATACAGAGCAAACCCACTAAAATCATCTGCAAAATAAATCCTTGACAGTCCTGCTCTTCAAAACAACAACCATGGTGCAGTTCGTATCAATGGTCTTCCTCGTCTTTATTTTCTTCATCAAATTCACTTTCCCACTCAGCTTGGCATAGCTGCTGATCTTCAAATACCCAGAATTCATCTCACCCTCAAAACCATTCTTAGCCTCCTGAGGCAGCCTATTTGACTTAACTTCAATACTCAAACTCACTCTCCTCGTCCCTCTCTTTTTAACGCTCCCCTTCCCAATCTTGGCCTCGCCAACTTTAAACCCTCCATACCACAAACTCGCGCTGCTGCCCTCAAACTTGTACTCGCCAAAGTTCTTGTTCTTTATGACCAACTCGGTGACCAAAGTTGCATTGAGAGAAGTTGGCGAAGTTGTGTGCTTGAGATTTTTGACTGCCACAGAGCTGAGATTAAAACCAGGTGATTTGACACGAAGAACAACCAAAGCAAAGACCAAGATGAATATGCCTTGGAGGACGATCGCAGCAAACACATAGACGAAACACTTGTTGCTTCTTTCTCTGCGTATGCCTTTGAAAGTTGGGTTTTCTTCATCGCTTCTGCGAAACAGTCTGGAGGGTGCCAATGGCCAAACTTGGCTCTCTTGCTCTGCCATTGCTAGAAGAGGAAAAAAAAATGAAAAGCCGCTTAATTTGGTTGAAGGGGTGGTGTTCAATAACGTGGGTTATGATATGAGTTATATATTGTGTTAATGTGTGTGAGGGGTGAATGTGAGTGGGGTGGTCATGTTTAATTTCTGAAGCTTAGGGGATAAGAATTGGTCAGTTATGGCCTATGTCCGTGTCGGCTGTTCCTTGTGGGATTTAATTTCTAAAAAAAATTACATTATATACTAGAAAGCATTGACAATAGGTCCAAAATCATAGATATTTTATTTCTAAGTTCTGTGAAAAATGGTGGAATTTTTCGTGCCACGAGGTGTTTCTTTGAGGAAGTCAAGAACGGTCAGCTATATGTATATGGGATGTCACAGTCTTTTCTTTTCTTCACTTCTTTTTGTGATCTTCTAGAATTATGGAGGCACAATCTACTGATAGGAGAGAGTTGGGTCCGATCTGAAACATTGAATGAGTCAGAAGGTAGGGGCTAAAATCAGACTAATCTTGAACTGAGTTTTTTTAAATACAATTTTTTTTCTGGTTTTATATGTAAAAGATTTGGGGAGCAGTTAATTTCTGCACTAACAAGATGAGTGTGCAAAAATGATGGGATTAGGTCAAGTGGGGGAAAATTGAAATTAGGAGGATCAAAAGTGGACTTTGTTTATAGTTCCAGAACCAAAGAGAAAATGTCAAAAAGGACTTTACAGCTGAGACCTTTCTGTGTCTGTTTGAATCTAGTTGGCTCTAAAAGCAAAAGAACAAACGTTGCACGGTCACTTTCATAATCCTTATGGAACAGGAGATCATTCATCAACCTTTACCATTTGGTGCCATTTGTTGCAGAAGGCATGATTTGTTGAAGTTTGGAAATTCTCATTGTGCTCTTATTCTTTAATTAATTTCATTGGTTGAATGAATAACACTAGGAATTGGTTTAGCGGGACTTCTCTTCCCTCTCTTTTTAGTGTTGAAAAAGGTTTCGAGTTCGAATCCCTTTCTTTATTAGTAACAAATATACATGCATGATTTTTTATTATTTTATTTTTGGACGAAGATATATATGTATGATTCAATACTTTTAGGGTAATAATTTCCCCACTCCCTTTTTATCCACTTACACTCCTTTTTTAATTATAAAAATAGAGTGTAGAAATCACCACTCTACTTTTATAGAGTCATGATCATAAAGAAACAAGGGAGGATCAGAACTTGGATTAATTTACAATTTAATAATGTTAGTGATATCAATTGTTTGATTGATGTGACTCACATTTGCTATGAGTTTAAGTTTATGAATTTGGATTATTTTGCGACTTTGGGCCAGCTGCTATCCAAATCATCCTTTTGCGACTTTGGGCTTAAGGACTGATATGCCAGCCTGCCCCCTTTGTGAGTTTGGCCTGACCATTGCTTGGGCCATTTCAGCTAAGATTCCCATTTTTCTTCTTTTGAGCAAAGCCTCTTTATTCTGTGAAATTCTGTGGGCATCGAAGAATTGCTTATGGACAACTGAAAATTCATTCTAAAATAAGTTTATGAATGTGAGGTTTAGCCCTTCCCTTGATGCATATTAGGCCACTCTGGGCTGCAGAGGACGCATATAATGGCCTAATTAAACATATTACATAAACTTAGTAGTTCACAAATTAAGAAAAAAAAGGCATTTTATAAATCGAACTTAACTAGCTTATTGCCCAAAAAAGAGGATCCCTAGTGTCCACGGATTTAAAAGATCAATCTAATAGAGATTAATTATTTCACCTCAGCGTAGTTATATGTTATTAAAAACTCATCCGTTACACTGTATCACTTACTCTTCTCTCCTACAATCTTTCTTTCCCATTCAATTTTATAATTATATCATTTTCAATATTATCCAAAACCGTAAATTATGATCCCTTCATCCATATATATTATGAACCATGTATTTTTTGGTCGAACAACAATTAGACTAACTGCATATCTGCATGAGGAATGCTATTCACAATCGCTCAAAAGCGATTCTCACAGCACTTGCTAGACACGTGTACCCGTTCCCATCCTTTCTTTTTTTTAATTGTTTTTTCTCTTTCTTCTCTCGGTTGCCTCCCTCTCTCTCTTATTCTATTACTTTTCTCTCTTTCTTCTCTCTGTTGCCTTCGTCTCTCTCTTTTTTCTATTTTTTTTTCCATTGCTCTCCCTCTATTCTCTCCTCCTCCTGCTTCTTCTCCTTCTTATTTTCTTTTCCCCGTCTCCGTCTTCTTCTCTGTATCTGTCTCCATCGATGGGTTGTAAAAACCCAAACCTTTTGTAACACAAAAACAAATACCTCAAGCTTTAAAAACCCAAACTTCTTCTTCTCTGTGTATGTCTTCCCCCAAATCACAGTTCTCTCCCTCAGATTTCTTAACTTTCTTCTCTCTTTTCTCTCTGTTTCTCTTCTCTCTCTTTTTTAATTTCTTCTTTTTCTTCTCATCTGGTATCCGAGAAAGAAACCCATTTGATGGGTCTCGGAAAAATTCTAATGGAGCTATTGGTGCTGGAGGTGTAATCCGTGACTCTACAGGGGACTGGGTCACAGGGTTTACAGTTAATTTGGGTAAAGGCCAAATCTTAGAGGCTGAGATATGGGGGCTGTTCTTTGGTCTCAAATTGGCAGCTGAAAAAGGCATCCCCAACCTTGTGGTTGAGATGGATTCTGCAACTGCAGTTCAGCTTTTGAGAGAGAGACTTAAGACTTGAGATTAAAAATGGAGGGGAGTGCTGAGGTTTCAGACCAGAAAAATAGAAACAAAAGGGCTGTGCAGGCCAGAGAGCACGGAAGGGAAGAGGAAATGGAGAGAAGGAAGAGAAAAAAATAATAGAATAAGAGAGAGAGGGAGGCAACCGAGAGAAGAAAGAGAAAAAACAATTAAAAAAAAGAAAGGATGGGAACGGGTACACGTGTCTAGCAAGTGCTGTGAGAATCGCTTTTGAGCGATTGTGAATAGCATTCCTCTATCTGCATATCAACCAACGAACCATATAACCATAGAAATATTTTTGAGATTCTCGAGGAAAGACACATGCTTCTCTCCTTGACTTGCGAGACCATAAAAAGTAATAGAAAGGAAAATTCAAAGCTTGCTATTAAAATATTGGAAATTATTGAACCGCAATAATTTTTTAGGCTTGACATTAAGTAATTAACCTTTTTTTGACTCCTGCTTTCTCTCAAAATACCTTGTTTGGCTCATGCAGTATCAATATCATTATTACTATTTACCAAAACAAATATTTATTGCTTATTGACGTATCACTTTTTTATTTGCTACAGTGCAAATTGTGAGTTTTAATACAATACAACTACGTTGAGGGGGAATAATTGAATGGTTAAGATTCTTTTAAATGCTTGAATGCTAAATGTAGAGGCTCGGGATCCCCAAAAGTCTCCTAGCATAGTTAAGTAAAGTATGGAAAGAAAAGAAAATAAGAATAAAATATGTACATATATTATTAAACAAAATTAAGAAAATATGGTAAAAACTACGGTCATTAATGTTATTATTATTATTATTTTTTAATATAGTCTATTTGTTTAATATTATGTGAAAATATGTGTATGAAATGTGAATTTTACTTGTATTATTCCAAAATTTGTAAACAATTTGTATTAAATGTAAAAATACTTGCATAATACATTTAATTTTGAAATAAAAAAACACATGTATTTTACTGTATCTTTTAAAATTGTACTAATTAGACCTCCTAGTTTAAAAGAATATAGTTCAAATTCTCACATGGAAGATGAGCAAAACAAGCATGGTGCATTAAGTATGCGTGTTTTTTATTTATAAATAATTGAGTAGGTCTGGTTCATGCCTCTGTATTCTGCAATAAACAAACATCTTCCTAACCTAACCTCGTAATTATGTGTAACTAAATTAATTTGAAACGTAATCAACCTATCCAAAGCTTATTTAAAGCACAAGTCATGACGGAGCAGACTTTGCAATTAAGTTACATACTTTAAGAGTAAATTAAAAGATTAGAGAGACTTGCCTAAGCGACCACATAATTATAAACTAAAATCATTTACATACTTTTCACATGAACGTGTATTTAACAAGACGTTCAACTTCAATTTTTATGGCCTTTCGAAACCTACAACTTGCTGAGCCATTCAATTCTTAAAAAACACTGCGAAAACGTTGTCAAATACAACTATTGTAATGATGTTATTTGAGAACTTTATTCTAAGAACTTGACTCTAACACTTACCCTAGATTAGAGAGCAAAAGTGAGAATGTAATGATGGTTTGCTCGTGTTCGAATCGGGTCGGGTGAGACTTTCCGACCGGTTTATACAATCATATTGTCGATGACCATATTACCAGGACCATACGTGATCGGATCGGTTTGGTTCTCTCGACATCCATTGTGTCAGCCACGCGACATTAGATTATATGCTCACTGATATGGCATGTCAACAAAAGTCCCTTAACTCTTTGCGCAAGAGTCTGTCTTTGGGTGATCAAGTCCGTGATATTTTAGATCTTTTCATATCAAAAAGGGCTAATAACGGTCAAAACAATTTTTCATTTGTTAAATCGGGTAATTTGAAAAAATATTCCCCATTTAGAGTCAGGACAAATTAGCCAGCATCAAACCCAACCACTACATGATCACAACTTGTGATTTGTCCTCTCTCCTGAGATATTTGACAAGTCCTAAGTTTATCTTTTGTCGTTAATAGTCAACCCAGGTTGGCGTGCTTTATAAATGTAAACATTGCTTTGAATATAATAACTTGACCACTTCATTAACTTTTCTGTTAGTTTTTCTTTTTCTCTTCACCCAATGAATGCAAGTTGCACTCTCTAAGCCCGTCACCTTTTTTATATTAAATATTTCAATCTTATAATATTAAGTGGGCAGCCCATCAGATTCGAAAAAATGAAGACTGAATCAGTTCAGACTTTGCAAAATTGTATACAACAAGAAGAGAAAAAATTGCATAAAACGAAAAAGCACTACCAATCTGTATATAACGAAATAGCACAATTGCAAAATTGTGCCTGGGAAGTGTATATATACCCATACAATAATTCATAAACAAACAACAAAAAATTTGCAGAAATTTAAAACAAGTTGAAAGAAATCAAATCATGGTCTGTTTTTTTCACTTGCACTGTAAAGATTTGAGTTTCTTGGTTGCCACATCAAAAGCTATGGTGCAGTTCATGTTGGTGGCCTTCTTCTTCTTCATGATGAACATAATTGCAACTTTTCCGTTCAATCTTCCTACGCTGTTGAGCGTCAACACCCCGCTGCTCAAATCACTTCCAAGATTTGGATTAGTAATTGCAGTTGAATTCAAAGTCACCTCCGCATTTCTTTTTATGGTCGAAAGCCATCCAGCCTTGCCCTTTGCGACATCAATTACTGCAAAATTCTCGCCTCGGTATTGAAACGTGATATTGGCAGCACTGAACTTGTAGGAACCCCAGTTGGCTGAGTTCTTGATCTTAATTTGGGTTGTGAATTTTGTGTCGAATGAAGGTGTTGCCGAGACAGATTCAAAGCTTTGGACGTTGATGTTGCCTAGCCTGAACCTGGGGTTCTTAACTTTCATCACAGTGAGACTCATTGCCGTGATAACTATGATCTGAAACACAACGAAAATAGTTATATATATGGCCAATTTGATTCTCTTCTTGCGTTTCAGCTCATCAGCGGACAGCTGAGACTCTCCATCACTTCTTGTGTAACCGTTTGATGGTGCCAAGGGATAGGCCTGGTTGGTTTTCTCTGCCATGTTAACTTGTTTTTTTGTTTTCTGATATGAAATTGGAAAGAAAGGTTTCTCTGCTTTTGCTTTCTGGGTTTTGTTTTCTAGGATGAAACTTGAAAGCAAAGGAAGTTAGCTGTGGAAATGAAGGTAGAGAAGTGTGCTATATATAGTGTTGGGGGTGTTGGGCCTATTTCAATAACTTACGTGGTAGAAATAATGAGTTTCCAGGAACAACATGTGAGTTTGGAAAAAGGAATTTCATTGCGGACCCCAAACGCGTTCTAGTCCTACGGTGATTATTATTGACTTCTAGATGATGGATGACTTTTCTTTGAGGACCTTTTAGGGTTTTGCCATGAGATTGGACATTTTAAATATCAGAAGAACCTTCAATGCCAAAACAAATATCAACAGAAGCTTCGAATCTATCCGTTGGCATTGACCAAATCTCCCAATCAAATGTGAGAACGTGTTGTGAGAAATATTATACTAATCACCTTGTGAACCGTGTTTTGAAAATATTGGTTTTTAAAATTAAATTAAATTAATATGATTTGTTCTGTTGTCTCTGAATACAAGCAAGAATTGGGATAGTTGAGGACTGCAAATTTCCGGAGAAAATTCAACCAAACATGGCCTAGGATTTAAGGAGCTTTGTTTTATTATTATTTAGTCAATGTTTTGCTCTGAATGATGAAGATAGAATGTGAATCGTGCAAATGAAACTGTGCAAATATGACATTTCAAAGGGAATGATACATCAATGAATACAACTGCATCAGCATCTGATTTAAATTGCGTTGGCATCAAAGCTTCTTAGTCTTTTTCCCAAGAAACAAAGGCAGAGATAAAATTGCAACACGTCCTTAGATATTTTGTTTGTTATTTTGTCAATACAGGATATTTGGTTTGATGCTCTTTCTTTCCACTCTGGCCATGACATAGGGACCAATTGCGAACTCTGTTTTTCTTTCTTTTTTTAGTCAGTTTTTCTTTTTCAATACAAGCGACAGTCTAAATTACAAGGTGCCATGAGGGTCGAACATGAAACCACTGATATGAAGTCAAGACCCTTTTCCATTGGACTAGACCCCGTTGACTTTTTACACTGTTTGTCATATGCTAGAGATAACTTGTCAAATGAACCAAAATTCAAAGGCCACCTAGTAGACAAGAACTTGTCCTTCTTTAAATGGTGATGTAGATTGCAGAACAAGGATAAAAGACATGTAGAAAAAGTCCCAATGATGTTGTTCAATAGCCTACAAAAGTTGCCCTCTGTTCTTGTAAGAGTTTTAGTGTGTGGTTTGGATTGAGAAGTGTCCTGATTTTTACTCTGTGTTTTGCTCAATAGTCATATATTATGCATTGTTTTCAACATTACTTCTTAAGTTATGTTTTCCATCAATCCCTTTCGTACTGGGACAAAAATAAAGGCCTTGATTCTACCCCTCAACTAATAGCTTTATCATATGTCCTGCATTCAAAACCATTCCAAAACTTGGCCATTTTAGTTTGACTTATGAAGCAACTCATAGAGAGTCTCATTCAAAGAAAATAATTTCAACTCCAAATGCCACCAACTACAAGAAAATGCAGTCCTGGTCTCAAGGCCAGTCAGTTCAAGCACAATCCTTGACACTAAGGTCTCGTTTGGTAACTTCTCTGTTTCTAATTTTAATTTTTGTTAGACGTAGCGAGCAAATACATTGGGGGAAAAGAAAGATGAAGGAGAATGAATCCTTGACACTAATCTCATTCGGTAACTTTTCTGTTTTTAATTTTCATTTTTGTTAGACGTAGAGAGAAAATACATGGGAGAAAAGAGAGATGAAGGAGAATGAATGAAACAAAAAACAACTTAAAATTGTTTTTCGTTTTATCTATGTTACCTTGAAATTTGAAGTTCACACACATATATGTACTGCCTTTTGGAATACATAAAAACGCATGGGAAAAAGAATTTAAAGTAGAATTGGAGTTTGTACTATAATCTGTATATTCTATATATATTCCCAACAGAATTTGTAAACAATATAACAATCAAAATTTGTAAACATAAAACTAAAATTGGCTTATGAGAGAGAGAGAGAGAGCCATGTTCGATTCTCAGTTACAATCCAAATTCTGGAGAGACCTTGCTGCCAAATTAAACACCATAGAGCAGCCCAATTCAGCTGTCTTCTTTGTCTTCATGATCAGCATCAACTCAACCTTTCCCTTCAACTCAGCTGTGCTGGTCAGCAACAGCAAGCCATTGCTGAGCTCATTTCCAAGAGCAGACTTGCTTGGCAACGCATTAGAATTCACATTCACAAGCACAGTGATTTTTTTGGTGGATCGCAATCCGACTTTGCCATTTGGAATATAAACTTGCCCAACAACCACACCTTGGTACGTAAACACGACGGTGCCGTCACGAAACTTAAAAGGACCCCAGTTTGGGTTTCGCACTCTGACTTGTGTTACGAAGCTCATGTCGAACGAAGGCGTTGTCGGGGAATAGGTGAGTGTTTGGATATAGACGTTGCTTGCCAACTTGAGTTTTGGAGTCTTAGCTTTCATCACAGTGAGTGAGAATATGGTGATGACTATGACTTGAAACACAACGAAAATACCAAAATATTTCAACCTTTTGATTTTCTTCTGGCGTTTGAGCTCCTCGGACTGGTGGTATGCGTTTGCTTCATGATCTGCATCCTTCTCAGCCATTTTTTTTTCCTCACTTGTTCTTTTTTAATGGGGTGATTTGCTTCTCAGAGATGGATTGGGAAATGGAGGACTTGTGTTTGTGGTAATGGTAGTGAAGAAGTGTTGTGTAATACTTATAGACCGGTGGTGTGTCTGCAATTTTCTCTATGAGCTTTGCTTCCTGGAAAATGACCTAACATAAATGGGGTTTTGTTTGTTTGTTTTTATTTTATTTTATTTTTACTGTTTATGTTGAAACGCCAAACGCACCTACTGTAAATTGTTGACTTGGTGTTGTACTATCCTCGAAGCTTCTTGTGGTCTCAGTCGTCCGTTTTGGACCTCAAGCCCAGGTGAGGACTTTTCATGTACAAATACACTGCTTGAATAATCTTTTTTATTAGGCAACAAACAACTCACGGCGTGCTTGCTACAAGTCTCTATAAATTATTTATGTTATTATATTAACAAAAAAATGAGTGAGAAGATAACGAAAGACCCTGTGGGGCTCGTGAGTGCTGCGTAAGAACCACCACTTGAACAGTTTTGAACAAGGCCAAGGATGTGATGACCTTCTTATGCAGAATAAAATAAACCCAAGTGGCCAAGTTGTTGTCGTCTTTGGTGGTGCTTGAAAGCATCTGCCCATTTTTTTGCTTAGTGATATGAATTATCTTTTATTTTCATAATTAAGGCAGGAGGTTCCTCCATCATGAATGATCAAGGAATCTCGACCGTGGCAAACGTGTTAATGTCCAAACATGGCCTGACATTATCCAATGATACTTACAATAGAAAAGAAATGATGTCTGGTCCCCAAAACACCTGTACAGAGAAGAAGCATGAAAAACACAACACACACCAAAAACTTGAGGCTTAAATAAATCAACAGAAAGAAAAAAAGTATTTTACCAAACAGTAAATGGGACCCATAAAAGATATTTTGTTATGCGTATAACTTTCTCTACCCAACTTGCAAGTTGCAGGCTAGAAGGGAGGACGAATAACATATAGGTATAGCTATGACCATTCAAGGAGATATTAATCCCATTGGAACACTGGCGGACTCAGAAATTTTTTAGCGGAGGTACAATATTGACTAAGTATGGAAAATGGTTTTTCGGAATAATCATTTCCCAAAGATAATTTTTGGCGGCTTTTATTCCTTACACATCAAATAAGAAAACTTGATTTTATGGGATTTTATTATGAAGTATATATTGACTTAATGAGCCATCATTTTTAGCCTAAATCGTATTTTGCACTAAAACCGAATTTTCATATTTTGATTTGGTGGGAATTTGATTTTATAGTATTTTTATTTGCATCCAAATAGGGGGTACTTCCTTATTTACATTGTAAACTTAAGTAAATGGAGTAATATAAAAACAAATAATATTGCAAGGACAAAGATATTTACTTAAATGTTGAAAACGAAAATAAGGTAATCTATACACCAGTTGAACAAATGGGCAATTTCAAGAACATACATTGGTTTTTCCGGCGAGGGGAGGTGCTGCTGCACCTCCTTGCGCCTTAATAGGTCCGCCTCTGCATTGGAAGATTCCTGTCCACCAGTTTGCTTTTTTTTTTTTTTCTTTTATAACATTGACAGATACGTATCCAAATTGCTTTTAGATATGATTAATAGTGTTTACAGGCTACTCTGATCAATTTTTATTATCTTTTTAAATCCAACATTTTCATTGAATAATGATCTTTTAATTACTCTGACAAGTTTAAAGTGAGATAAGATTAAAAATTCACTAATGATAGGTGTATGTTTCAATATCTTACTTGTTAATAATAAATAAAATTTAAAATTGGTCAGGCTTCAATCAATTAAACAATAACACGTCATTTGGTGAATAAAACTTATTAGTTAGAATAATTGAATACGAAGCTACTTAAAGTTACTTTCTTTCTCCCCATATTTGAAGCTTGCAGAAGTTGAGCTTGTTAGTAGCAAGATAGCTTAACATGATTGAAGCCTTGAAGCACATTTTGCCGACGTTTCTCTAAATTGTAGTTAAGAGCATGTCTAGCAGTGATGTTAGGGGCTAGGGGCAATTTTACCTCACAAAATGACACTATTCATCAAATTTACCTCACAACTCTATAATTGAGAAGACTTTGATTATCATTAAAATCCTGGTAAAAAACAGTAAAAAAAAAGTGGCCTCACTAGTAAAAGATTAATTAAATAAGTACAAATTCAAGCGTCACACACACAAAAACTATAAAATAACAAATAAAACACTACTCCTGTTCAGCCGCAATTTGATTCCTGAAGAGGATATAGAAATCATGCAATTCTATTCCACCCTCCTGCACTCGTTGCTTGGCTTGTGTGTCTTCATTTGCATTGTAAAGATTTGAGCGTCTTGGTTGCCACATCAAAGGCAATAGTGCAGTTCATGTTGGCAGCCTTCTTCTTCTTCATGATGAACATAATTGCAACTTTTCCATTCAATCTTCCTACGCTGTTGAGTGTCAAGACCCCGCTGCTCAATTCGGTGCCAAGATTTGAATTAGTTATTGCAGTTGAATTCAAACTCACCTCCGCATTTCTTTTTATGGTCGAAAGCCATCCAGCCTTGCCCTTTGCGATATTAATTTCTGCCAGAGTCGTGCCTTGGTATTGAAACGTGACATTGGCAGCATTGAACTTGTAGGAACCCCAGTTGGCTGAGTTCTTGATCTTGATTTGGGTTGTGAATTTCGTGTCAAATGAAGGCGTTGCCGGGACAGATTCGAAGCTCTGGACGTTGACGTTGCCTAGCCTGAACCTGGGGGTCTTAACTTTCATGACAGTGAGACTCATTGTGGTGATAACTATGATCTGAAACACAACAAAAATAGTAATATATATGGCCAATTTGATTTTCTTCTGGCGTTTCTGCTCATCAGAGGATCTCAAAGACTCCGCATCACTTGTTTTCCAAGCCATGTTTCCTTTTCTTTTCTGATAAAAAAAGGTGGAAAACAAAAGTACTCTGCTTTTGTAGTTGGTTTGGTTTTGTGGATGAAACTTGGAAGTGGAGGGAGTAGTTGTTTGTGGAAATGATGGAAGAGTAGTGTGTTATATATATAGTGTTTGATTAATTAATGATTTAAGAGTGGAAATATGATGATGAGTGTCATAATTACCTACCCAGGAAATGCTGAAATGTAAACAAACGCGCTTAGTATATAATTTTGGACTTAATAGTCTTCTAGATGGTCGAAATACTTTTAGACTTGGGTATACTCGGAACATACCAAAATTTCTCCATGTAGGAAAAAGTCTACGTCTAAAAGCAGCCGACAAAGAAAAGGATAAAATAAAATTATAGACATGTGGTACATCTCCCTGTAAGATTTTGGAGATCCAATTGTTTGGGTTTCAGGCAACGTCTTGAAGCCGCCATAGGTGTGTTGGAATATCACAGTTGGCCAATTGCCTATATTTTAAGATATTCCGAGTTTGGTGAGTAATCATACATTCAACAAAATAACAGCTTCATAGTCAAATAAAGTTCCTTAAACCATGACTGTGTTCTGGACTGAAGAATAATTCAAAGTTAAATAAAAGTATAATTTGCCAAAACTATTCACAAGGTGATCCCACACCATGTTCTCACATGTCATTGGGATATTTTTATTTGTCCATTACATGACTCAAAGCAAAAAGCCTAAAAGCCCCTCAGCGAAGTCTTCCATCATCTAGAAGTCAATAATTCACACCTCTGGCTTTGGACGCGTTTGGCGTCTGCAATTAATCTCTTCTGCTGAAACTCACATTTTCCTGGAAGTTGATTTTCACCCCCGTAACTTATTGAAATTGGCAAAATTCCAAATACTATAAATAGGAGGATACTCTTCCATCATTTCCACAAACAACTCCCTCCATTTCCAAGTTTCATATCCCAGAAAAGCAGACTCCTCAAAAGCAGACAACTTTCTTTTCACTCGTATCAGAAAAAGATAAGCTAAGAAACATGGCTGAGAAGGCTTATCCTGCAGCCCCTGCAAACCATGGTTACCAAAGAAGTGATGCAGAGTCTTTGGAAAATGCTGATGAGCTGAAACGCAAGAAGAAAATCAAATTGGCCATATATATTACAATTTTCGTTGTGTTTCAGATCATAGTTATCACCACAATGAGTCTCACTGTCATGAAAGTCAAGACCCCCAGGTTCAGGCTAGGCAACATCAACGTCCAGAGCTTCGAATCTGTCCAGGCAACGCCTTCATTCGACACGAAATTCACAACCCAAATCAAGATCAAGAACTCAGCCAACTGGGGTTCCTACAAGTTCAATGCTGCCAATGTCACGTTTCAATACCAAGGCACGACTCTGGCAGAAATTAATATCGCAAAGGGCAAGGCTGGATGGCTTTCGACCATAAAAAGAAATGCGGAGGTGAGTTTGAATTCAAGTCGAATAACTGGTTCAAATCTGGGCAGCGAATTGAGCAGCGGGGTGTTGACGCTCAACAGCGTAGGCAGATTGAATGGAAAAGTTGCAATTATGTTCATCATGAAGAAGAAGAAGGCTGCCAACATGAACTGCACTATTGCCTTTGATGTGGCAGCCAAGACGCTCAAATCTTTACAATGCAAATGAAAAAAACAGACCATGATTTGATTTCTCTATAATGATGTGGATTTTGGATTGATGAAGACTAGTTCTTGGATTTTTTTTCGTCATTGATATTCTTTTTTCTTTTCTTTCTATAGCTATGAGTGACACTTGTACTGTATTTTGTTATAGAATTATAATACTACTTTACCTTTTCAATCACTGAACCGGTACCATTGCTATTCTTTTTACTTTATGTTTATCAAATGGCTTAAATCATGCATCTTGTTTATCCAATAAAGGCCAATATATTTGCAGAAATAGGTATCTTAGGATCAATGTTGAAATGAAGGAGCAGGATTACATATGTTCCTCTGTTCTCAAACCACATACTGTATATGTATGTTCGAGAGAAATGAGCAATTGAAAGTTACAGAAGTTAACGAACAAAAGTTACAGAAGTTAACGAACAAAAGAAGTTAAAAAGTTACATAACTATCATGACATGATGACATGCCCCACACGTATTAATTATTAGAACACTTTGTTTTTCTGTTGGTCATCACTTTGTTTTGTCTGATAAAACAAATACTTCGTTTCAATCATACTGAA